TAACTAGGTAAAGGATCCGCATATATGCGGGTTTATAAGAAAAAATATTTTACAACCCGTAAAAAATCAAATACGGAAAAGAAAAAATCAAATTAAATCATTCATAAAAATAAACAAAATTGAAAACCTTGATATTAAATAAATTTAACACTTATATTTTTATCTTGATTTTATTTTTATCTAATTTGATCACGTTTGTTCAAAAAAATGAGTTTCTTTCTATTCATGTTCAAAGTAATTTACTTTTTACTATTTTGCTACTCTATTTTTTCAAAATCTTGTTGAATTAATTCTCAAAATCTTATTTGAAGTTTTCAATTTTATAAATATTTTTTAACTTGTAAAAATAGTGATTTTTGTTTTCCTTATTGAATTAGGTTTACTTTTATTACGTAGCTAATCACTCATATGTATTTATTTTTCCAAAACCTTGACGAATTGAATCTCATATTTTTTAGTTGCAAACTCAAATTGCAAATTTTAATAAGATTTCTTTCACATAATTGATTCCTAAATTTTTCAAGAATCCAATGATGCACAAAACCTTGAATAGTATTTTTATGCGTTCAAATAAACTCAAATTGTAGTTAGACATTATTTAAGTAATTTGTAAGAAATTAAGACTGTTATTACTGTAAAATAAAAATAAGCTAACTTTTTCATCAACTAATAGAAAGTCAATTCCTATAAACTCATTATTTGTCTTAAAAATTCTCGCCTCCCACTTTTTTAAGACGTACTACAAATACAACATGACGATAAACACATTTTTTATTTAACTGGTCTAATATTAAATAATTAATGTTTTTCTTGTGTTGAGTAATCATTGATCTGACGATATTTATGGTATAAACAATAAAACAAAACAAAATTGAGTTAGGATATTTTTATTAATCTCACAAATGAAAATAGATCACCGTCATCTATCTCACATATCGAATAAGAGATTAAGAAATGTTATTTTCTAATGAAAACTTTGAAATAAAATTTGTATAAGAGATTACCGAAGTTTAAAATTGTTTGGTGAAAAAACTGAGAGAGCACGAAAACTTATGATATAAATTCAAAATATTATAATCCATATAGATTTGGGTATGTAAACCTAATTCTATTTGAACTCAAATTTTTTTTACATGTGTATTAATTAATAGTCTTATGAAAAAATCTTAAAAATTATTCCATCTAATAGACGTATAGGAAAAGAGAAAAATGGTTGTATGTAAGAAAACAAAACCGAGACATCTAATAAAGACAAAATTTAAAAGAATAAATGATGCGTATCGACTAATTATTTTAATGAATTATTAATTATAGGTTAATTGAAAAATTTTTATATGTTGATTTTTATAATTTTGTTGATAAATAAAAATATATAAGTTTAAACAAAAAAAATTTGTATGATATATATGGTAAAATCT